ATTATTAAATAAGCTATGGCATCATAATATGGAAGCAACACCCTTTTAGGGGAAGCAGGTAAATGTATCCACGTAAGAGGATGAGCAGGCTCCTGCCAAAGAAGACCCATGGGCAACAGCTGAGTATTAAAAATCATGAGCCATAAAGGTTTACAATAATCAACATTAGTAACAAATTGATTAGCAATTGCTTCCTCAACTCTACGTATTGCAACTCTAGCCTCTTCAGTAAGTTCTCTGGATGAAGTTGGCTTTGCATCCCCTTTAAGGATATCAAAGAGGGGCTTCAAGTCACCAGTAGTCAATTTCAAGTAAGGACGTAGCCAATTAATATCACCCAATAGCTTTTGGAAATCATTCAAAGTTAGTAATTTATCAAGTCTAAGAATAGCCTTTTGATTAGTTATCCTTTGTCCATCAAGTTGAAAACCTAAATAAGAGTAAGGATCTTGCATTTGCACCTTCTCAGGAGCAATTTGCAAACCCGCATCCAACAAATCAGATTTCAATTGAGCAAAACATTGCAACACCTCTTCTCCTGATGCACCTGCTATCAGGATATCATCCATATAATGAATTATGTACATGGAAGGCCAAAAAGCTCTAGTATTTTGAAGAGCTGTAGCTACAAATTTCTGACAAAGAGTAGGGCTATTGGCCATCCCTTGAGGCAAAACCTTCCACTGATATCTTTTCATAGGCTCTCTAAAATTAATAGAAGGAAGGCTAAAAGCAATGCATTTACGATCATCAGGATATAAGGGAATAGTGAAAAAACAATCTTTAAGATCTAATATTATTTTAAAATATCCTTGCAGAATAGCAACTGGCGAGGGCAAACCGGGTTGTAACGCCTCCATAAGAACCATAGTAGAATTAATTGCTCTTAAATCTTGCAATAACTTCCATTTTCCTGATTTCTTTTTAATAACAAATATGGGCATGTTCCATGGAGAACAAGTCTCTTCAATGCGCCCTGCCTCAAATTGTTCCTGCACCAAACGAGTGACTGCTGCCAACTTCTCTGCTGTGAGCGTCCATTGATCTACCCAAACAGGATCATCTGATCACCAGGTTATACGATCCACACAGTTTGAGGGTGCAGGACTGTCAATGGCCACCATCATAAATTTCCCAAACCTCTCGTATCATTCTGTCCTTGGAGTGGTAGTGGAAACAATTGTCCATCCTCTTTCTTTCCTAGCCCCTTGAGCAAGCATCTGCGCAGTAACAACGTCATTGGGACTACACATCACAACTCCCATTTGTGAAAGCAAATCCCTTCCCCACAGGTTTACTGGTAAATAAGGAACCACAAAAGGTTTAATCAAGCCAGAATTATTCATAGAATCCTTCCAAGCGAGACATTTCAAACTCTGTCTTGGATTTTGACTCTGCCCTATACCTTTTAAATTAGTCAGAGTCTCCACCGTGGGCCAGGCTGCAGGCCAGGCCTCAGCAGAAATAATAGTAACATCAGCTCCAGTATCAATAAGACCATCAAATCTTTTCCCATCAAGCCATAAAGTTAATGTAGGCTTTTTATAAGTAATGGCCTGAACCCAATAAGCATCAGAAGAACCAAAATTATGAGCTGCACGAAAATTCTTTTTGGCAGGATTTGAACAAGTGACTAAAGGTACCAGAACCAGTTGTGCAAGCCTATCTCCTGGTTATATGGAGACAATATTAACATTGGCTTTTACCAAGATTTGAATTTCTCCTGTATAATCAGAGTCAAGCACTCCAGGTATAATGCTTAAGCCTTTAAGGGCTGAGCTACCTCGTCCCAAAATCAAACCACAAGTGTCTAGAGGCAAAGGGCCGTACACACCCGTTTTTATTATCTGCACTCCCATCTCTGGAGCTAGTACTGTGTGGGAGGAGGAACTGAGGTCCAGTCCTGCACTTCCCGGGGTGGCTCTGCAGAGGTCAGAAATGGATTGCTGTCGCTTGCTGGGATAAAGTTGACTGCCCCAATTGTTTGTGTCGGGGCCTGAGGGAGGCCCCTCTGCCCGTTTCCCTGACGGGGAGGCAAAGCATTACCCTGAAAGTCAGTTTCCCTGAAGAGGAAGTAGAGGTCTCCCTTCAACATCAGTTTTAGATCTGCAATCCCGGAGCCAATGTCTTCCCTTCCTACATCTGGGACATATTCCAGGACTCTTCCCATTATCAGTCTTCTGCTGAACATTATCTGCCTTACACTCCTGGGAAAAATGCCCATTCTTGCCACACTTGAAACATTTCTTAGCTTTATGCTTCTCAGCCAAAAACTCCTTTACTGTTTGTCCATTGAAAGCTGCTGCCATAGCAAGCCCTTGCTGATAAGACGGCCCTATGTCTGAACACAGGTGAATATAGCCAGTTATATCTGTCTTCTTTCTATAAGGTCTAATGGCTGCCTGACAGGCAGGATTAGCATTTTTGTATGCCAACTGTTTCACATACTCCAACCCTGCATCAGCACTTCCAAATATCCTTCCTGCTGTGGTCATCAAGCGATGAACAAAATCTGCAAATGGCTCATCGGGGCCCTGCTTAACAGAAGTGAGAGAAGTTCCCAGGTCCCCTTTAACTGGAAGCTTCCTCCATGCCTTTAGAGCAGCAGCTCGAATTTGCGCATAAAGACCTGCATCATACTGTATCTGTTTTTCATTAGTCTCATACTCACCTCCACCTATCAACATATCAAAACTCCATTCATTTCCACATTGTTGATTCCTCTTAGCTGTCTCCTTACAATTGTCATAATATTCTGATTTCCATAGCAAATAATCACCTCCACTAAGAACTGCCTTCACCAACTGATTCCAATCATTAGGAGTTAGCCAATTTTCAGATTCAGCTTCTATAATAGCTACAGTAAATGGAGCTGTAGCTCCATACTGAGACACAGCAAGCTTTAACTCTTTAATCATTGGAAACTGAAAGCCATCATGATGTCGCCATGTCTGGTTCTGTTCATCCACTGTTTCTGTTACCGGAAAAGCCTCCATATGAGAGGAAAACCTCTCCAGACTATCAAGAGGTTCCTTATATGAATGAAAGCCAGGCCTCCCACAAGTGGGACGAACTCTGTTTCCATCCACTTTTCCTTCATCTACACCAGCCTCACTACCTCTAGCCAATTCAAGTTTTTGTAACTTAAACACCAGTGCCTGATGCATCTCTTCCTACTTAATTTGTTTGAGCATCAAGGATTGATGCATCTCCTCCAACCTGATGTCCTCCTGCAACTGTTCTATCTGTCCCCTTGTTTTTGATCTGGGCTCTACCGCCGCCATGACAGCTGGAACAGGCAGTACACCATAGGAAGGGGGAGGAGGCCACAAAACCTGCCTCTCACGGCCATTTTGTAATCCATCCTCAGTTTTACTAACCACCCCCTCTCTCACAGCCTCTGTGCCATCTCCGTCCAAGGCTGAACGAGCAGCTTTTGACAAAAAAGCCTCTGGCAAAAGAGGATACATAAGAACATGCTCCTGTTTCAGCTCTTGAACATCATCTTCTCAATCTCCCTTTCCTTTGACTGACTCTGAGGGCTCCTTTTTCAAGGACTCCTTTTTTGAACTTTTAACAGAACTCTCACCATCACTATCCAGAGAAATTAAGTCAGGAGGCTCCGGAGGCTCCTCCTTGGAAGTTCCTCTTAACTCTGACTTAGAACTAGTTTTAAAAATTTCCTCAGCTCGAGCAATTGCTGTAATTACAGGCTCATGTACTTCTCTACTATCTATTAATTCCTTAATCAAATTCCAATAAGAAAAAGCAGTAACTGGGACCTTTCCTGGTCCAAACGCCTTATAAAATTCTTGAAATGGATCTCCCACTCTTCTCCATCTATTTACATCAATAACTCCCTCTTGGGGAAACCATGGGCAGATGTCTTTCACAAAATCAAAGAAATGAAATAAATCCTCAGTTGTAACCTTTACTCCTCTTGCCTGTAAAGCTTCTTTTAACTGTATTACATATTTCTGATGCTGACTCAATTCTTGCCCCATGATTGAACGACCAACTTACCTGTCGGCTCAGTCACAGCAGGCTACCACGACGTCTCCGAGCTATTGTTTGATCAGGTGCGCACCCCTTCCTCTTTTCTTCATCGTTAGACCCTCACGTTGTCCCCCAGTATCCAGGCCCACGCTGGATGCCACCTGTGGGAGGCCACTCTGCAATGCAACTCGGTTCCGACCTGCAGAACTTCCACCTGGGTACCTGGATTGGGGGTTGGGGCCGGGGATGGAGCAAGCGACAAGAGAAATGGAGACAAGACAGGAATCTGATCAAGCCTCGTTTATTGAAGCTCAAGCAAGAATTTTTATAGAGAATGAAAACAAAGGAACACAGACTGCAAACCATACATCAGTCAGAGCATAAGGGCTCTGACGCACATTAAAGGAGGAATCTCTGATTATAGAAGAATAGAACCATATGCTGGAAAGGAGAGCAAGGCCATGGGCCAAGGCTATCTAGCAAGGCTATCTGGCCCCGGCTTTGAGCCAAGGTTGTGAGCCCTGGCTGCCTGCCAAGGTTTTGGGCCAAGGCCATGGGCAGAATGGAAAGTTTCCAGCTTAGGTCTGTCAGCAGTTTTGAGAGGTAGCTGAGACTCAGTTGCAGCAGTTTTGAGAGGTAACTGAGACTCAGTTGAACCTCAGGCTCCCAGGCTCCCAACACCTCTCCATCCTTTACAAAACTTTAACAAGAGTTAGGAGACGAAAGGTCTTGTCTTCTGGGGGTTTTCTAATTCCAGAGAGAAAGAAGGGCCCTAGGGCACCTACTGAATTTATGCAGGAGATTTGGTCTGCTGGTCCTGATGGCGCTGGTCACCCCCACCTGCCTCCACTCCTCCAGAGTGGGCTCTGCCGGCAATGCTCCAGCTCCAAGTCCACTGAGCACCGCACCTGCCTGGACAGCTCCTTCCAGTCAAGGGGGCCTCAGGGGCTGCTGCAGGACCGACCCGCTTTGTGCGCCTTTAAGTCCGAGCCCGGGTGAAATGGTGAAGAGGGGAAAGCGCGGCCTTGCGGAAGAAGCCATGGAGTGGGTCTCTGTGCAGAGCTTGGCTGGTTGACTTTTCTCTGCTGCTCCTCCTGTTTCTCACTTTGTACCTCAGGGTAGAAACAATCTAAACACATCCAAGAAAACAAGACAATAACAACAAAGAACAGTTGCTAGGATGAAATGGTCAGTCCTTTCGGAGCACCCTTTTGGCATCCAGGTTAGTCCTAAACACTCTGGTCCACTGTGCAGCTTGCCTGAACTAAGACAAGCAGGTTCTTGTGAGCCTTAGAAACTGGCATAGCAATTCCATGTTGCCACCACAACATCGGGCACATGTCTTTTTTGTTGTATTTCATTTTAAAAATAATATTTAACCTATTTTACAAAATAAATAACATTTTGTAGTCCAGAAAATGACATAGAAATTTCCAGAAACGAGCAATAAATTTTAAGTTGTATGCTGTTCTGAGTAGCATGAGGAAATCTCACACCCTTCTCAGCTGTCCTGATTCAGATGTGAGTCATCCCTGTGTGCAGTGGATCCATGCTGTATACACTGTCTGCCCATCAGTTACTTAGCCTGGGTTAGCTGATGGACTGTCAAATATTGTGTTTAAGGAACTTTTTTCCCCCTACTTAATAACATCCACAAATGCAAGGGTGGTGATGCAGAGGTGGCCCCAGGGCACAAACGCGGATGAACTCTAGAGTCATGCAGCAAGACAGCGGGCAGCACAGGGCACAGGACTATTATACGCTGTCTGCTGGAAGTCTTAGACAGAAGCCATGAAGGGATTCTTGCTGTAGAAGAGGCAGCACTTTTCACAGGAAATGCTATGGTACCCATACTTGTTCCTGTTGAAGGACAGGGACCAAGGAGTGGGAGCTCTTTTCAGCCTGGACCTCAGCATTGAGTATAGCGCCTGTCACTGACTCAGTCATCATAGTGCTGGGATGAAGTTGAAAATTAAATAAAAATGAATAGTATTCGCAGGAAAGACAGCAGTCAGGCACGGAACAGAATGTGCTAGTGAGCAAAAAGAGAGAGCAGCCAGGGTGCTACGGTGAAGACTCAGGGACACAACTTCCACCAGGCCATGCACGACAAAGGCCTCGTTCACAAAAAGAACTCTGAGCGCATGCGCACAGAATGGGAACTTTTGTAGCTTGGAGTCCACTCTGCCTAGAGAGAGTGAAGGTTATATTCCAATGTTGACAGGTATAGCTACTATTTCTCAGATAGTTCCTGAGAGACAGGCTAAGCAACATGATCTGTCTCCTAACCAGCCCCTTCCTCACGTCAACTCTCAGCAAAGACCCACCAGCAACACCTGTTACTTCTCAGGTAACTACTTTTACAAATTTTTTATTTGGGGGCTGGACAGATTGCTCAGTGGTTAAGAGCACTGGCTGCTCTACAGAGGACCCAGGTTCAATTCCCAGCACTACATGGCAACTAACAATCACCATCCATAACTCCCATTCCAGGGGATCTGATACCCTCTTCTGACCTCCCTGGGTATTACATAACATGGGTGCACTTACATACATGCAGGTAACCTACTCATACACATAAAAATAATAAATAAAATATTTTTAAACTTTTATTTACTTTTATTTTATGTGTATGAGTGGTTTGCCTGTATGTATATAAGTGTACCATGTACGCGCAATGCTCATGGAAGACAGAAGAGGATGTCAGAACCCCTGGAACTGGAGTTACAGACAGTTGTTAGCCACCATGTGGGTGCTGGGAACAGACCTGAGTCCTCTGCAAGAGCAGCCAGTGCTCTTAACCACTGAGTCATTTCTCCAGTCCCTCAGGTAATTCTAAGGATTCAATTGTCTGCTCCAAGACATGTCTCTAACTTTGATTATTAAGGAGACAGGATTCAAGCACATGGGGCCTTTTCCAATTAGGTGCTGTTCTGCACATTGTACGTAAATCAATTAACTTTCCTGCCAGCCCTACAAGAACATCACGATTTACAGACAGCTAAGGAAATGAAGCACAGAGATAGTAAGATTTCCTGGACTGAAGCTAGCTAGTTGCCTGGAGCCCCCACACTTCCCCACGTTTTGCCCCCAGAGGGCTCCCCAGACAGTACAAATTGCTCCACTAGCCCCTCTGTGGAGCTTTGTGTCCAAATGTTCGGAAGTTAGCTTGCGCTGTCATGGAAAATAAACTCTCTTTCCAAAGTTCCTCCCACATGATTCTTCCCCATGAGATAACCTGCTTTCCTGTGGCTTGCTGTCTCTGCCTCCAGATGGAGGCACAGCTGAACAGAAGGTTTCAGCTCAAAGTTGGGGAAATACCAAGCTTAAAAAAATCAGGTGCCAGGCAACATGCAAAATTAATGAAGGAAATAAGAAGAACTGGCTTTGGACCTCTGGTTTTAGTGGCCCACATCTCTTCAAGAAAATAAGAGGGTGGGCAGGAAGATGAGGGAAAGAGGTGGCAGGGAGGGCCCGTTAAAACTATGGAGCTACGGACAGTTGTTAGCTGCCATGTGGGTGCTGGGATTTGAACCCAGGTCTTCTGCAGGATCTGACAGCCTCTTTTGACCTCTGCGGGCATTGCACGACATGGGTGCACTGACCTACATGCAGGCAACACATGCATACACATAAAATTAAAAAAAACGAAAAAAAAAACTATGGAGCTGGAGAGATGGTTCAGCAGTTAAGAACACTTGCTGTCCTTGCAGAGGGTTTGAGTTCCGTTCCCAGCACACACACTAGGCAGCTCACAATTGCTTGTAACTCCAGCTCCAAGGGATCTAATATCCTCTTCTGGCCTCCCAGGGTGCTGCATACATGTACACACACACACACACACACACACACAAATAAAAAACAGATCTTTTAAAAACTAAGTATGAGCTGGGCACAGTGGTACATGCCTTTAATCCCAGCACTCAGGAGGCAGAGGCAGGAAGATCTCTGTGGATTCCAGGCCAGCCTGGGCTACATAGCAAGTTCCAGATCAGCCAGAGCTACATAGTGAGACTGTCTCAAAAAACAAACACACAGGAAAAATAAATCCTAAGTATTTATAAAAATGCCATAAGGAAACCTGCAACTTTAATAAAAAAATTTAAAATATACATTAAAGGCTGAAGCTGGGCATTGTGGTACACACCTGTAATTCTAGCACATGGGATATAGAGGGAAGAGGCTCACAAGTTTGAGGCCAACTTGGACTCCACAGTGAATGCTACACCAGCCTTAAATAAAAAAAAAGATGCTGAGATTTCCCCAAAGCAGCGAGGCAGCCAAACGAATGCTGCAGACCTCCCTTCCCCCACTTCTGCTAAAACATGTATGTTTTTCCTCTTTAAACATTGAGTGGGAGGATATAGGGGCATACAACTTATCTTTTAGTCAACAAATCACAAGAAGCTATAACCAAGCCTAACAAGCAGGTCATAGTCCAGAGACCTTGGACTCTGAAGTCAACAAAATCGCTGGTTGAGTCCTGTGCAGCCCTGCACGATGACTCTACTTTTGGGCAAAGGAAGAAGAATGTGCCTAGAACTCTGGGATGCCAAAGAGACAGACAAGTCCATGTTGCTATGGTAATTTATGTCCACCTCTATATATGTCTGCCTTCTTAGTACTAGCCACATACCCAGGAGTAAAACTGTATTTGCAAACTTTCCTTTCAGCTAAGTATAGACATTTGAATAAGCTCTGGTCAAGTGGATATGAAAAGAAATTTTGGGTACAATTGAATGTCCATAAAAGAAAATAGCATGTCTCTCTTCTGCTCTTAATTTCTGCTCACTAGAAGAATGTGGTCATGATGGCTGGAACTCAGGCAGCCATCTTGGATCATGACATGCCATTGTGAATCAGCAAGATAGAAGTCTGAGTTCCTATGTCTTTGTAGTGTTACTATGCAGCTCTGGAGTTTACACAAAAAAGAGAGGAGCATCAAATCACAGTTATTTGGAACTTTCTGTCACTTCAGCCAAATGTAAATACAATTTTATAAATATGCAGGATACATTTTCATTTAACCAATAATCAAGAGTATAGTTATTCATATTCCCATTATGTGGACTTAAATCTAAGGTTATATTAAGTTAGCTTGTCCAAGGACACAAACTATAAGCAGAAGAACCAGGATTTTTATCCCTTTCTACCTCACTTCACAGGCTAGGTTTTATCTGCTTAGGCTATGTCCCCTTATTTGAACATCTTTGTGGCAAAGAATATCATTCCCTTTCACTTGTAGGACTGGAAACCCCCAATGTCTGCTGGGCAGACGGCCAACCCATAAAAGAACTGCACCTCCAGCTTCCCTTCCAGTGAGGAGTAGCCATGGTCTGACAGAGGGGATGAGCATGGAGACTCAAGCAAGTTCTGATTACATCCTAGAAGAGCAAGAGTACTCATCCTCCCTTCCCTCGTCCTTTCTATTGCCCAGAACATAGATATAACAGCACCTTTTCTTGGCAATGAAGATCAAGGCTTGAGAGTGACACCCTAGGATTCATCTCTGGACAACTTCTCAGAACAAAGTTGCATGTCAAGTGGTAATGGGATATTCCGAGACTCAAATCCAGTCCTGACTCTAAAGCTATGTGCTGTCATATATGTTCATAGCCATTGGAGTCACCCAGAGGTGACATAGCTTGTGTGGTAATGAGTTCCTTCTCATTGGATGTCTCAGGAAAATGTCATCAGGAATGTTGTAGCCAGGGTTGCCACATGGGATAGATAGTTAGAGGGCAGGTGGATGAGGCACCTTGAAGTGAAAAATACAGGTGTTGAATTTAATTAAAGATGATTCAGATATGAATTACTTAGCAAGTAGAGGAGTGATATGGGTCAGTGATTAGAATTATCTAGATCAGGGATGGCAAACACATAGTACTAGCTGCCACGCCCATCTTGCATATCCATGGCAGACATTGCTAATGGATTGCAGCACACTTGCTCCCTGAGCCCAGTTGTGGAGTTTCAACCCTTCACATTCTTACCAGTCAGCATGCAAAATGTTAACAGTGAACCTGGACATTAAGGTGAGATTTGTATTAGCTCATTAGTCAGTACCTTATGCCTGTCCAGTTTAGCTAACAGTTCCAGGTCAGTCTTGTCTGACACCCCACCATGAAGAATGAGAACTTTCTCATCAACCAGAGTGGCCAGAGGAAGCCAGCGGAATACATCTTGAAGTATTCTCAAGATTTTCTTTCCATGTGTCTGGAAAATGATGTTAACCAGATGCTCAGTTTCAGACACCTCAGTCTGAACAAAGGGGCACATTTGCTTTGAAAGGGGCTCACCTTGTATTTATGGATCATTTCCTTGGGAAAGCCATATCTAGAGACTGATAAACCAGGTATTAAGATAAATTTAGTAACAATAGTTATGGCATGATCACATTTCTATAAAAATGCATAGTCTACCTGTACATACTTAAAATACTAGAAAAGAGACAGGAATAACCACCAAAAAGTTTAGTTTTGACATTATTTCTGGGTAAAGAAATTATGGGATATTTACATTATTTTTATTTACTAGATTTACTACTTTTTCTATGTGAAACTTTATTTTTATAAGCTAAAGATATGGTATATGAAAAATAATATTCTTATTTGAATAGTAGGATATCATGGAATTAAAAATTCTTTAAAAAGTATTGTATATTAGCCGGGCCTGGTGGCGCATGCCTTTAATCCCAGCACTCGGGAGGCAGAGGCAGGCGGATCTCTATGAGGTTGAGGCCAGCCTGGTCTCCCTAGCGAATCCAGGTGAGCTAGGGGTACAGGGAGACCCTGTCTCAAAAAGACCAAAAAAAAAAGTATTGTATATTAGCCGGGCCTGGTGGCGCATGCCTTTAATCCCAGCACTCGGGAGGCAGAGGCAGGCGGATCTCTATGAGTTTGAGGCCAGCCTGGTCTCCATAGCGAATCCAGGTGAGCTAGGGCTACAGGGAGACCCTGTCTCAAAAAGACCAAAAAAAAAAGTATTGTATATTGTGTGTTCTACTTTCAGGAATTAGGAAACTATTTTTTTTTTTACTGGTTACTGAACTCAGAGTCTTGTGCATGCTAGGCAAATGCTCTATCACTGAATTATATCCCCTGTCCTCAAAAACTACTTTGAAAAGGCATCTAAAACAGGGAACTCTGGTGAAGTAACTTTACAATTATAACAAGCAAGCATGGAGCACCAAGCGTGTTTGGGCTTGTACTGTATAGTCCTTATGATTTCCTTATGGTTTCACTATATAGTCCTTATGGTTTCCTCTGTTAAGATGGAATTCCTTGGGATAAACCAACATGAAGGCAAAGAGAACCATCAGGATTTCTACTGAATCCTTGCCTAGATCCACAAAGTCACCATTGAACACACAGGCCTGGCTCTGGTGAGGGTTAGACCATTCTTCCATTCGGAAGATGAGTCCAAGAAGGACCGAGGGAGAAGAGGAAATGAGGTTAAAGTCAGTGGGCATCTGATTATCATGTCAGAGCTGTGTCCAATTCTGTGTGTTTTGGGTTTCTCATATGAAATGTTAGCAAATAGGGAAAACTTTTCCATGTGTTATATTTCTTTCCAGAGAGGCTGAGGTTAAGAGATGCTTATCAAATAGACACTTTACACAGAGCTAGAGCCAGGGCCACGGCATGTGCAATGAAGCAAGAGCTTGTGATGCGGAGGCCAGTTTTAAGTCAGTTACATAATCATCATCATACTCATCATTATCGTAAAGGCTGCCATGGACTCACAGGGATTAAATAGGACCAGGCTAAGTGTGGTGGCACATACCTGTAATCCCAGGACTTGGGAAATGGAGGGAAGAGGATCAGGAGTTCAAAGCTAGCCTTGGCCACACAGAGTTGGAGGGAAACCAGCCTGGTCTACATGAGACCTTGTCTCAAAACAAAAATTCTTTTTGATACACGGTCTCTCTACAGCCCCAGCTGGTCTGGCATTCACTATGTAGACCAGGCTGGTTTCAACCTCACAGAGGTTTGCTTCTGCCTCCTGAGTGCTGGGATTAAAGGTGTGCACCACCACATCTGGCTCAAATTTTTTTTTAATTTATTTTTTGGTCTTTTTGAGACAGGGTCTCCATGTAGCCCAGCTGGCCTGGCCCTCACTATGTAGACCAGACTGGCCTTGAACTCACAGAGATAGGCCTGCCTATGCTTCCCAGGTGCTGGAATTAAAGGCATGTGCCATCACACCCAGTTCAAAAACCTTTTTTAAAAAGGATAATACTTGGGGAAATGCTTTTGGAAGTATAATATATGTACAAAGTAATAGCATGTTAATAAAATATTATATATGCTTTGTTATATGTTCTATTTATAGCTAAAATAGATATAAAAACAAATTTTGGCAGCTGGGGCTACAGGGAGACCCTGTCTCAAAAAGCAAGCAAACAAATAAAAAATAAAACAAACAAATTTTAGTTGCTTTGATTATCTATTTTCTTTATCTGGGAAAAATAAAATCAATTGCCAAATAATGCCTCCCACTACTTATCAAGCATTTGCATTTGCATAACAGCTTACAAAAGTAAACTAGGCTATAAAGCAATGCTGCCTTATATCATGTATTGCTACACAAAAGCAAATATTATTTAAAATAACATTTTAGAAGTCCAAGCAATATTTTACTAGGTAGTATATCTGAACTTCTAAATCAAGCCTAAGAGCAAGAAAGGAACTTAATTTGAATATTCTTACCTTATAAAATATAAATATTAGTCATCCAACTGGCCATGTAAGTCTCCTAGCAGAGAAAAAGAATATTATTAGTTCAGACTGACCCTTACCGTAACAAGAAAAATACCATACCTAGAAAACCCTGACAAAGTTAAGAAGCCAACAGTTACTAATTTTCTCTTTAAAA